ACAGAAATGCATTTATAGCACATAAATTGTATTTTAAAAATATAATAGAAATAACACGCCCACCAAAAAACAGCCTAACCACCTCTTTATATGAAGGTTTCACATTTATTGAATGTCCTGAATGCCATATTATAGAGAGGAAAAAYACGAATACGTTGAAAATTCAAAGCAACTGATAAAAAATAATRTAAAAAGTACATTTAAATACCTGGAAAGTCACATGTATGAAAATCAAAATGGTTATAAAAGGCATAGTTAATCTGAAAATAAATTTAAATTTAACTCTAAATTATTATTGGACTATAATAAAACAACAGAGGTGTGGGTCATATTGTTCAAAAGTAATTTTTATTTTATAAATCCCGTTTCCAATAAGTCATTTGTTTATAAATTCACAGATGACTATATACATGAAAAATGTTAATATTGCATAATGTTATTATGCGATCAACTTTCAGATACTCACAATTTATGCACGTAGGTATAACATGTAAAAATACTGAATATTTAAATTACGATGATCACTAGAAACTCTTTGTCCTATAAATATTTGAATAGGTAATATATTTTGCAAATCAACTTCATTTTGTACCTTATTATAATAAAAGTAAATATAGCTGGCCGTTTATATTTATGCATACATATATAAGTATAAAGTTTTATAATATAAATTAACTTAAACTCCACAAGCTTACTTACCAATCATTGTTCATTTTTATTTCTAATTTAATAAATAAATTATTAATATTTAGATTTTCTTGYATATTAAATATTATTTYACAATAAAAACGTACTAAAAATTAACTTTTCAATATGCCTAGACATAATACATTGATCAAGGATTTAAAAAAAAATATTCGCCCATAAGYTTTAAGTTACACTCTTTTCATAATGACACATATATTAGCGTTACAGGTTTACAAAATTATTTTATTATTTAGCTTTTCATATTTAGAAACCAATGTTAGAATTTTATAATAATATCAAAAGGTATAAAATGAATATCATGGGTATTTGGAATTTTTTTGCTATGTTAACGCAATATGACGTAATCATTTCAATAGTTCATTCTTATATTTCAAAAAATGTTATCTAATAACCATAAATCATAAGTTTTAAATTGTACATTGTTGTATTTAACCTGACAATCGCAACAGTTTTCTTTTGAGCTATTTATACTTATTTACCTCAGAATAAGCGGCTTACTTCACCAACATATTTTTTCTTTTATAATGTAGATTTATTTGCTTTCCTATCCGAGTTCAGAACCCATCCCAAATAATTATAACCCTTATTCA